TGCAGTAAAGATAGCCAATTGTTTACGTGCAGGGTACTAACAGACACATGCACATACTGCATCTAGATTGAGAAACAATGCGGAACAGACAGTAACAGTGTCCATGTACAAGCCACTGCAAAGCAGTTTCCTTAAGCTGCTACTACCTGCTCCAAAGCATCTGCAAAGAATGTTACCCCAGTTAGAGGTATCATCTGGATGTGACGTATGCACGAGGGAAGCAAATGCAATGCAGGCATTCTTCATTGGGAGTGCTGCTGTTAGAGAGTGAAGGATGCTGCAATGTGACATTTTTATATCAAATGTACTTGATGCTTTTATGAATAAGCATAACCTAAAGCAGTTCAGTTCTGCATATGGAGAACAAAAACCCAAGGCATTTCTTTTATGCAGGATGCTATTTACATCTGAGGCACCAGGCATGCCCGATTACTGAACAAACCCTCATTATACTTTGACAGAAAGACATTAGATGGTCTTCCCCCGCTGTGTGTTAGCATTAGCTGCCCCAAGATTTAGTGCATCCCTCAGCACATGGTCCTGGACCTTTTTTGTAGTGTGCCAGTCTGTAACACAGTCGAGTTCAATTCCTTGCCCTGGACGACCATATTTCAGGCAAACTAAATCTTTCATCAAGTTGATGGTCCTCCAGGCACGGTCTTCGTCTTGGTGTGCATCCTGGGGAACAGACCATAGAGTAAGGAGTCCTGTGTCATGGAGCTGCATGGGACAAACCTCAACAAAAACTGCATCTCTCTCCAGACTTGGTTTGCAAAGGCATATTCCAGGAGATGTGTGGCATTCTCTAATCTTTCCCCTGCAGCTGCTTTTGAGGGCAGTGTGCGGTAGCACAGAGTCCAGGTGTACATAAAGGAACTGATGGGCAGTGCCATTCTCGCCACCCAAGTGATGTCTTTTTGTGCTTGTTAGAAAGTTCTGGTGATGAGGCATTCTGTAAAATGACTTTAGCAGTCTGTTCAGAACAAACTGATGGGATTCGCCCTCTCCTTTCTCCTACAGCGGCGCTACATGCTGATCGCTTCCTGATGGATTTGTGGTCAAAGGTCTTTTTTTTCCTTTTGAAAACTTCTGCGTAAAGGACAGGTGACAAGTGTGTGAAATCATTGGGCTTTTGATGTGAAGCATCAGCTCATTCTGCTCTGGAAGTCCTTAGCCCAGCAGAGACATTCAGCAAGCCCTTTCTGTTGTATTCAAATCAAGCAAGCTAAGCAACAAGATGCATATGACCAAGCGTTGCAAGTGGTTGTGATTTAAAAGGGATGAGATGAATTATCAGCCCAAGATGGCATGTTGCCAAAAGGAAATTGAATCATTGTCATGAAGGAGTTGAGAAGAGATAGAAGTACGTCAACACAAGCCACTAAAGGAGCTAAGTCAAGTTTGAGGAAAACAAGACAGCGCAACAGCAAAATCAAAGACCACAAGAACCACTCATGCTTGTAACATACCAAACTAATCAAGTTAAAGAGGCACCGATGCAACATCACATCCCAGCTAGACCATCAATGAAGCTGGAAATAAATATTTTTATGCTTGCAGGAACTGATTATCTTGCCACCTTTGGAATAATGTTTGACTACTGGCAGATGGGCCGGCTGACTTCAATAGCTAGAGATGAAATTATTAAATAGCTGAAAGCCCACATCAGCTGGTTGGCACTTCTGACAGTATGCGTGACAGTGGCCCTCCGTTAAGAATTCAATTGCTTCACAATTTCTACACCACTGGTCATGTCAACATTATTGTGAGTCAAGTGGCAAAGCTGAGGTGGTAGTCAAGATCGCCAGAGGAACTATGAAGATATAGAGCAAACTTTGTATAGACTGATTCAAGGCTCTCCTCGAGTAGAGAAATGCATCCACTGATGTACTTGAGTTCTCATGACAAAACTAATTTCATGCTATATCCAAACCACGCTTCCTTTGGCAAAAAGCAACTGAAGCCAGAAGGGAATAACGAGACACACAAAATTAAAATGAAACAGCAGAAAGTACAAGTTGTTTTGACAAATTTTTTTTTTTTTACTAAACGATGACTAGATTTGAGTATTGGCAAGCCAGTCATGGTACAAAACTTGCAACACTCCGGCGAAGGGTCAACCCAAGTGGGAACTTGGGACCTGAGGAGAACACTTGTCTTGTCATGTTTTAATTGTACGTGTTGGAAGTAAATAACAAACACTGTTGCAATTGTCGGCACTTATGCCCAACTGGAGAAGCTGTTCATGTACTCCAGGCAGTTGCTCAAGAAGAGGTGAATATACCACCTTTAGATCACATGTCAACCATCAAACAGGTTCACTTACAAGGAAATGGAACAACAGTAACAAGTACCATGGCCACTAAAAATGACCCAGGAGTTAACACTACTGCTGGATGTAAAGGTTCTAGTTTGATATTTCCAGAGCAGAAATGTTTGGTTAGAAACTGGAAGAAGTTATTTGAAGCTAAATTTTTTTTTTTAAATGTGTCTGAATATTCATGAAAAAGGCCATCCAACCCTCAAGATTGGGGTACAAAGAAACTGTTCAGTCAAATTTACCTGTGATACAAAAGGCGACTGTCTGACTGATTATTTGGTGTTTTGGAATAGATTGGATTTTTTCTAATGTCATTTGAAAACGGTTTCAAATTTTATGTAAATCACCTCAGTATATTTTACCTTATCTTTTATGATAAACTTTGCTTCAGAATTTCTTTTAATAATAATAAGCAGTATGCTTGTGTTTCAATAAAAGACCACCGCATTAAATCAAAACTATAATCCATGCCAGATTTCAGTCTGGAACCGGACTTATCCAGTAGTAATATCAGCTGTGATCATATTACAGACCAAGTCAGAAGGTTGTCCAAATCTTTGTGCATTTTTGTGTGCAAACGTTTCCCATATCTTTGCTGGATCGTCCGTATGGTTTCATTTCTTTAGCAGCCTTTGTGAGCTATTTCAGAAGCCATTTCAGAAATCATTTAAGAGTTGACTAGATTGAGAGCCTGGAGTCACATATAGGCCAGACCAGGTATGGATGGCAAATTTTCCTTCCCTCCAGGACATCAGTGATCCAAATGTGATTTACTGACTAGCTTTCAATTCCCACTTTATTAATTGAATTCAGATTTCACCATCTGCGGTGGGTTTCAAACCCATGGCCCCAAAGCATGTCCCATATCTCCCTGAGGAAGGGTCCCCGGAGCCGAAATGTGCCAGACCTGCTGAGCTTTTCCAGCAACTCTTTTTTTGTCCGAGCATTCCTTGGATCTTTTAGATTAGTAATTCAGTGATAATACCACAACCTCTCCTAACCTGTCCTTGAAACCTATCTTAACTTAATAAATCAAGTTTTATTACATGCTGACTGACTTTTGTCTGTTTTTATTTCCAGGCTGTAGTAATGATGGCTTTACCATGTTTGTGCAATAGACTAATATCTAAGCTTTAATTTAAAAGCCATATAATAGTTACAACAAATTAGTTATAAATGATCTCCCGGACATTGAACAGATTTAGATTTAGTTTTCATTTGGCCAGTCAATCCCGAAAATGCCGTAATGAGAACTTTCACCTAACTATGATCATCTTCCTGACCCATAGGAAGATGGTCGTGGTTGTTTTGAGATCAGTTATCTCAGCTCCAGGACATCTCTGCAGGAGTTCCTCAGGGTAGTGCCCTTGGGCCAACCATATTCAGCTGCTTCATCAACGATCTTCCCTCCAAGGTCAGAAGTGGAGATGTTTGCCGATGATCAATTGCATAATGTTCAGCACCATTCGTGATTCCTCATACTCAAGCGGTCAGTGTTCAAATCCAACAAGATCTGGACATTATCCAGGCTTGGGCTGACAAGTGGCAACTGACATTCGTGCCACACAAACGCCAGGCTATGACCATCATCAATAAGAGACAATCTAACCACCACCCCTTGACATTCAATGATGTTACCATCGCTGAATCCCCCTCTATCAACATCCTGGGTGTTATCATTGACCAGAAACTTGACTGGACTCACCACATAAACACAGTGGCTACAAGAGCAGGTCAGAAGCTAGGAATACTGTGGCAAGTAACTCACCTCCTGACTCCCCAAAGCCTGTCCATCGTCTACAAGTCACAAGTCAGGAGTGTGATGGAATACTACCCACTTGCCTGGATAAGTGTAGCCCCAACAACACCTGAAGAAGCTTGACACCATCCAGGACAAAGCAGCCTGCTGGATTGCCACTCCATTCTCCACTGATGCTCAGCAGCAGTGTACTATCTACAAGAGCACTGCAGAAATTCACCAAAGATCCTCAGATAGCACCTTCCAAACCCACGACCACTTCTGTCTAGAAGGACCAGGGCAGCAGACATATGGGAATACCACCACCTCCAAGTTCCCCTCCAAGCCACTCACCATCCTGACTTGGAAATGTATCGCCATTCCTTCACTGTTGGGTCAAAATCCTGGAATTCCCTCCCTGATGGCATGGTGGGTCACCTATAGCTAGTGGACCACAGCTGTTCAAGACAGTAGCTCACCACCACTTTTTCTCAAGCCCAACTAGGGATGGGCAAGAAATGCTGGCCAGCCAGCAATACCCACATCCCACAAATGAATTTTTTAAAAATAATTAGGATTGAACTGCCACTCGGTTTCCAGATTTTTTTTTTGTTTGTCCTTTTTTTTTCTCTTTTTTTTTCCCAATGTCAGAGTTTTGCAAAGAAATATTTTTAACTAATTTGAGAAACATTAGTAGGTTGTACAAATGCAAGGGAAGAAAAGAGATGATGGTGGAATGGAAATATATAGTAGTAGAACATTCGAATTGCACTATTAGCGTTTCCTAATTAGGAAAACCTTGTGCGAATTGAAGTTTTTTCAGTTTGTTGGCTTCATTGGAAGTTGACGTGATTTGATACTATTTGACTTCTCCATCTTTAGCATAATTGTGCAAGCAGTTTGTTTTAAGCAAATTCATAATTTCTACTTTCTACCCTCCAGGGAACAGCCCATCTTCAGCACACGAGCCCATGTCTTCCAGATTGATCCTACCACAAAGAAGAACTGGGTTCCCACCAGCAAACATGCGGTAACTGTGTCCTACTTCTATGATAATACACGCAACGTGTACAGGATAATCAGCCTTGATGGGTCAAAGGTGAGAACTACATGAAAATACAGTGCATAAAGGCTGGTTTGCTAACATGTTTTGCTGTCACTGACTCTTCCCACAAAGAGTGACCACTTTAGTGTGAATTCCCAGGCACAACTTAAGGAATTAGCCACGGTTTTGAGTTTTAACTTTTTACTGGAAATAGTAAAAACAAAGCAAAATACTATGAATTCTAGTGAAGATAAGTCATAGCTGATTTGAAATGTGGACTTTGTTTCTTTCTTAACAGGCTGCCAGATATGCTGAGTTTCTCCAGCACTTTTAGTTAATAAAATTAACTGAACATTATTTAGTAGCCAGCTAATTCTGATTAGAGAAAGGCCATCCTTTATCAATGCTTTGACATGACTGATAATTCTGCATTTATTTTGCAATTATGTTGAGAGCAAGCTGCAGTACATTCAGAAAACTATCCAAAATCAGTGCCAGATTCTGACCGGTTCACTTCCTCCCCTTTTTTTCAACTGAGTTGTAAAGTCCAGCGTCCATCAAGTTTCCCATCTTCCAGGCAGTTCCAAACTATCCTCTAACAATGCAGTTTTATCCTGATGATTCTTCCCCTCGCCATTCTCTTCTCCCGCTCCCCACCCAACTCCACTCCCAGAAAAGTTGTGCCAGAATGAATCCTTCAATTCCTCTCCTTGACAAAAGGACCAGCTACCATCGGCATTCCACATGGTAGCTAATACAAAAAAGTCCTTGCTGTTGCCTTGTTCTCTGTCTGTCTGTCTGTCTGTCTGTCTGTCTGTCTGTCT